TTAACTAACACCCCCAGATAACCAACGCCACCAGATAATCATAAGGCTACGCCTAAGACTTTCCCCACTTTCACTTCCGTCACGAACAGAATTTTAGGTCGCACAGATTAAATTTCACTTTCGTTACCAACAGACATTCTTGCTTATAATATAGATGTTCTTGATATTCCTGTTATTCTTGATATTCTTGATATTCCAGATATTCCTGATATTCTTAATATTCTTGATACTCCTGATATTCTTTATATTCTTGATATTCCTGATATTCTTGACATTCTTGATATTCCTGATATTCTTGATATGCTTGATATTGTTGATATTCCTGATATTCTTTATATTCTTGATATTCTTGATAGTCTTGATATTCTTGATAGTCTTAATATTCTTGACATTCCTGATATTCTTGATATTCCTGATATTCTTGATATTTCCGATATTCTTGATATTCCTAATATTCCTAATACTGCTAATATTCTTGATATTCCTGATATTCTTTATAGTCTTGATATTCTTGATATTCATGATATTCTTGATATTCCTGATATTCTTGACATTCCCGATATTCTTGGTATTCCTGACTTTGTTGATATTCCTGATATTCTTGATATTCCTGATATTCTGATATTTTTGATATTCTGATATTCTCGATATTTTGATATTCTGAATATTATGGATATGATAGATATTTGGAATATTAAGAATATCAGGAATATCAGGTACATGAAGAATATCAGGGATATCAGGAATACCAAGAATATTAGGAAAAGCAAGAATGCCAAGAATATCGCTAAAATATTCTTGATTCTATATTCTTGATATTCTGATATTCTCAATATTCCTGATATTCTCGATATTCTGATATTCTCGATATTCTGATATTATGGATATAATGGATATTTAGAATATCAAGAATATTATTGATATGATGGATATTTGAAATGCCAAGAATATTAAGAAAATCAAGAATATCAGGAATACCAAGAATATTTAGAATATCAAGAATATCAGGAATATCAGGAATATTGAGATACCTGGATATTCGGATATCGAGGTATTGGGGGCTTACCTTACCCAGAGAACCACTACCCCTAGGTAACTACTATCCCTAGATAACCACCACCTCAGATAACCACTACCCCTAGATAACCACTACCCCCAGATAACCACTACCCCCAGATAACCGCCACCTCAAGATAACCATAAGGCCACGCCTAAGACTTTCCCTGCTTTCACTTCCGTCACGAACAAACTTCCGTCACGGACAAATTTACTTTCACTTCCGTTGCCAACAGACATTCTCGCTTATAATATAGATTCTTCGCTAGGGCATGCAATACCGGTATTCGAGTACCGGTATTAACCGGTATTACCGAATACCGAATACCGGTTTTGAGCTAACCAATACCGGTATTCAACTCATAAATTTTACTTATTGAGACTAACGTTCAGTCAACCAAATTTCACTTATTAAATTCAAAATTGAAATCAGGTGTTGATAGTTATATTTTTAGCAGATTATAAGCAATGCATTGTACATGCACTCATATATTTAATTTAATTTTGATTTATTATATTTACTACGTATGCATGCATACAGGTATGCATTTATTTTTAAAGTTCAAAAAAATTGTGTCAAAAATGCAAAAGAAATTAACTCCAGAAATAAAATAAATCATTGAATCGTTTTCTCAGGAGATTTTCGTCTAGCAAAATTTCCGATAGGTTTCCGATAAGCTTAAGTCCTCGGGATGAAATGTTTTCGATGCAAAGTACTGTTAGTTTGAATCTCAGAGAGAAAATACAAAATTTTCAATGGTTGAATAACTATTGCTAAAATGGTACCAACGCAAAAAATATACTAACAAACTTTAATAAATAGACCCGTTCAACTTAAAACAATTTTACGACTCATGGAGCAATTTTTAAAATCCTTGAAAATACCAATCGTAATTATGAGTAATGCAGCACACGAAATGAGTTTTACATAAGATGATGTTAAAATTTTAGTGATTGAAATTTCGTTCAAGCATACATATATGTAAAGTGTATGAATTTGAAAAAGCTGGGACATGGATTAAATAATAGGAAGTTTGGGTGCACAATGAGCTAAATTTGAATCGTAGGTAATTTCTTGTCAGAGCTTGCAACCCTCATAATTTCTTTTGCAATTAGGCATACAACTACATATAAATAGTTTTTAAGAATATGTATGTTCACTTCAGTAACAAATACTTGTGTATATGATTGCACATCAACGATTGATGTCTTTTAAACCTATGCATTGCTTTGTGCGATCATTTTTATTGGTATATTTAACATGTTTAACATATTTAATATATGGGTCGGTAATACCGGTATTACCGTCGGTCCCAATACCGAAAATACCGAATACCGGTTTTGAAAAACAGTACCGGTATTGCATGCTCTATTCTTCGCTGGCAATGAAGATTCTGCGAATCCAAAACCTTGCTGGAATTCTAGCCTCAAGAATTTTATTGTTAAACAGGAAACCAGTTTCTTGAATTAAATTTCCAAGCAGACGATTTTAGGCGCATTATGCAATATTGAACCTTAGGGAACTTCCATATATTACGTTACCAAAACAACGCTGATTCGTATATCACTCACCCATCCTTTCACCTATTCTTCTCATGTTAAGCTTAACAAGGGTAAGATAGGCGCCCTCAAAACTATCCACAGAACTTTTTGATGGCGTAATTTATGGACATTCCCTTAGGCGATGACGCTTGTGTGATTTACATATTAGTTGACATTGGATCGGAGCAAGTACATAAGTACAAGTGTAAATGTGTATGTATTGTACTTACATAACCGTAATGCCCGTTATTACTAGTGCCCGTAGCGTCATATACATATATCCTCTAGTCAGCAATTATTTAATTCCAGTTTTTTAAGAGTGCAGAATTGCTATTCAAAAAGCTTGGATTTGATTTCAATGGTAAATTTTACATTTGTTAAGGTACCTTATCCAGTTTTCCTAGATCTCTTTTCACACACATATAACTATTTACACATCTTGGTTGAGTTGAATAGGTACATAAAAAATGTTGTCTTAGAAATTAGATTATTATCAAGTTTAATAAATATTTTTTTAATTAGTATGTTCACATTCCAGATAGGATTCTATTTATTTAATACAAAAATATCAAAGAAGTATCAAAGAAGTATAATCCTGTCTGAAACGCATTAATATTACATCGGTACACTCTAAATAATTTGGGGACAAATCTTCACCCGCGGATAGTGGTTTTTTTCTGGGAGAATGATTCAGGATACTTTTTATCACCAACGGAAAAAATATATCTAGCATTGGAACCTTTTCTCCAAGCAAAATGAGGAGAGTCACATGAGGCTTATCTTTCCGTTGAATGGCCCCCTTAAAGAAAGTTATTGGGGGCAAAGTTCGATTTCCGAGTTAATGTTCTCTCGTTTTTTTAGTCCACGGGGCGAAAAACAAGACTGGCAGTGCCAGTCTATTTATGATTTTGTAAATGCACCATTGTGCGGTTATTTTACCTGATTCATACGTTTATGTAATTTCATACGTTTATGTAATTTCATACGTATGTATGTAAATGCGTGGCAAATGTTGTTCATATTGACATACCTATGTATATGCACGCAATGTTTTTATTTCATAGTTAAGTAGTAAAGTTCGGTGAATTTCGTCTGGTATGAATTTGTTTGCTTACGTATATACAGGGTGTTAATAAAGTCCGATCCCATTTTTCCTGTAAAAAAGTGAAGGCTAGTATAAAAAAAAACTACCCGTGATACTTACAAAAAATGTTCGACATATTTACCTTAGTATTTGGTCTTGTTACCATTTACTTTAACCATGCCCTCAACTCTTTGTTTAAGGCTCTGTGCTAATTTTTCCATTGTGCCTCTGGAAATCGAATTCCATACATCTTGAACTTTTTTTTACTAGCTCTTCCCTCGTCCGGGGTTGTGGCTCTTTGTATACATTTTCCTTAAGTATGGACCACTGGTTCTTCAGGGGATTCAAATCTGGGCCGTTAGCGGCCCACACCCCCTTGCTCCAGACCGTTGAAACTTGCGTCTTGATGAGACTCAAACTCGCTTTTGCTGTATGGGCTATAGCACCATCCTGCATGAAAACTATTTTTCTTTCATTCGGAAATATTTCCTTGTTCCCCATGCTATCGAAATAGATAGGTAATATTTTTTCCATATAATGCTTTGCATTGACTGATTGGCCTTTTGGTATGATATGTAGAGGGGTCACGCAACGTGCACAAAATCCACCCGCTACCATAACTTTAAGCCCGAATTTTGGGATCGCTCTTGATGGTACATCCGATTTGTTTTCTGTCCTGTAACGAACATTTTGTTGGTTCAATTTTGGATATAGTTCAATAATAGATTCGTCAGTCCAAAGGATGTGACTGCGCAATTCTTCACCAAGTCTTTTTTCACTCAAATGGGCACTTTTCTGAAGGAGTTCTTCAAATTTCAGACGGTCATCGATATATTTTTGTGACATGAGAGGTTTTTTTGGTTAGTTTGTAAGCTGTGTGACCCCACTTCGTAGTTTTCACAAATTTTTGCACGGTCACACAGTTAATTTGCTTCTTCTTCTCTTTATAGCGTTTTGAGTCATTTAACTCCCTTGCTCAATTACGTAATGAACTACCGGTTTTCTTGCAAAGTCTGTTTTTAATCATTCTTTTTGTGGTAGGTGACACCTTTCTGGGTCGCCCTGGTCGCTTTTTGTCGTGGACAAAATTTTTATTCTTCCATTTCCAAACAGTTCTGCGGCTGCAGCCCAATTTTTGCACAATTTCTGTAGGTTTAAGCCCCTGCTGATGCAATGTTTGTATCTCAACTCTAAGATGCTCATGACTTACACGTTTAGTTGTTCCTCCCATGGTAAAAATTTGAAATAAATAACTTCACTGGTTCAAAAGTTCCAGCTGAATTTGTAACAACCACGCTCCAAAAAATGCATGGGATCGGACTTTATTAACACCCTTTATCTAGATACTGATGTACATACTTTGCGCAATATGTAAAAATTCTTCCCTGGCCATAAGGATTCTTTTTGCTAAGGCATGAAACCTCTTTTTTGAAGTAAATTTGCCTTATAGAGCCTTAAAGAGTGCAAATACATACTTATATTACATCATAAAATCGCAGATTCCTATACCACCCACCTCTTTCGTATCTGTCTCATATTTAGCTTACCACGTACTTATTACAGGAGAGAGGTGGTATGGAATCCGAGATGGGCCGCCCGTGAGTGGCTGGGAATGATTAAGTAAGAGACAAAAAGATAAAAAAAATAAAAGAAAGATAAAACTGACAATAATAAATTATGTTTTGCATGTTCAAAACCTTACCTAAAGAAGGGTAACCGAGGTAAGTCGAGTTAAAGGTCAATCAGCCCCATAATCGGTTGAACGCTAACTGGTATCACATTGGTCTAGAAGTAAGATGAGTTACATATTGAAGTGATTTAAATTATGTAAAATGTGAAAACTGTAGAACGAGACGAAAGGAACTTCCTTAAATATGTACAATGTGATTAAAATGTCACGCTACAATGGACAATTTTTTAATGGGAACAACCTCTAAATCTCCATTAGTTACAAGATTTCGGGTTGAGATTTTTATAATCATCAAAACTGATGGAACACTGATTACCAAATTCTTAAATGTTGAATTTTGGAGACAAAATTTCGGTAACCAATGAAAATTTACGAATTTTTCGACAAATTTTCCATTCTAGCGTGACATTTTAACCACCCTGTACATAACAGAATAGACCAGCGAAACGTGGTACATTGATGAGTAGCAAAAAAAGAAGAATTTTAAAATGATGGTATAGACGGTTTACACAATCGAAATAAACTTGAGATAAAAATTGCGACGCTGCAACCGTTTCTGAAAAACTTACCCGACCAAGGTAATTGTATCACCAGGTTGGAAATTCTGCAATTGTACAACGTAGGATAAGTTTAACACAACCAGGTGTGCTATCCCAAAGGTAGCTCAACCTTTGCTACATTTTAAAGTTTATGGAGTGTTCTATTGAACAGATATGCGTACATATATCCACCGCATAGATATATATGTATGTAGGACATTTTAATGGATTAGACAACATTATATGTACACATTTGCATACGTATAATTAGGAAAGTTACATATTTAGATTATTTTAACCCATAAAATTATCATCACAAAAAAATCGTTACATAACGACACGCGCTCTACAATTCTAAGCCATTTGACCTGGCTAACCTTCAAAATTATTGAACGTTGGTTGCAGACCATCCAAAAATATCCACGTATATTTACTTACCATGACATAAGTTTGTATGTAAGTGATACAGACATGTACATAGTTGTACAGATAAGGTAAACAATATTATGTCTAAGTAAATTAGCTGCTCAAAGTAAATATACACGTTACGTCAAACTTGGAATCTGGAGTTTGCCCTGGCAAACAGTGTGCCGTGATAGAACTGTTACGTTCAAGGTTTGTGGCCGACTTTGTATGGGACAGATTTGCAAAGTATTTGCGAAAGGAGAAAAATGCTAAAATCACACAACTGTTCTAGTTTCAAATTTGAAAAGATCAATTGTAATATAAAAACCTGGTCAAGCTTTTGTCCTCATGCGAGACAATGGTAGGATTACAATTTTGGCACACAATTTTGTGGTCAGATTATGCCATTGGTTTTGTATAAAATCAGGGCTGGTTTCTCCAAACAGGATCATTGAAAAGACACGAATCTTCTCTTAGAACGAAATAAATTTCTAATTACAAAATGAAATTCCTGATCCCTCTCTTCACCGTAGTCGTGTTGGCTTCGGCAGTTCCAAACACTCGTTTTGGATTTAGCTTGGGCGGAATCGGTTTAGGAATCGGAGGTGGGGCCGGTGGAGCTAGTGGGGCTGCCGGTGGTGCTGGCGGAGCTGCGGGTGGTGCAGCTGGTGGAGCTGCGGGAGGTGCTGGGGGAGCTGCTGGTGGAGCTGGTGGTGCGGCCAGTGGTGCTGGGGGTGCAGGTATAACAAAAATATTAATACAGAAATTAAAAAATCAGATATTTTGACACAAATTTTCGTGCAAACGCCAAATCACTAGCTTTGTAGCATGTAAATTTCCTCAATTCGCAATATCTCTAACAATAATTCCACGAAGATTATAATTCCACAAACTACAGTCACGTTGAGTAAGATACTATGCTATGCAGGGGAGTGGAACTAATGAAAATCCTTGGTCTTCCGCCAAGGGATTTAAGGAGGCCGCTGGTTTCTCATTGTTAGGCTGACCTAATACAATACCATGACTTTAATTGTTTTGGGTTTGTATTTAGGTGCTGGTGGATCAAGTGGATTTGCAACTTCCGGTGACCTTGCAACCGACCTCGCACAAACGTTCAGTCTCGCCAACTCTCTCTCCGGATTGGGCGGCGGTGCCGCAGCTTCTGCTCTTACCGATGCATACGCTACACTCCAAGACTTGATCGCTTTCAAGCATGATCTTGCCGCACAAGCCATGGCTGCCATTAGAGACACAACAGCCTCCAATGTGGACCAGCTCTCTCAGTTTTTGGATAACTTTGGCGCTCTCCTTTACGATGCAGGCGAACAGGCCGCGGCGGATCTGGTCTCCGTAGTCAAGGCTGACATTGAATTCAAAAAGAGGCTCATCAATGGATTGGTCGACATGACCAAAAATGTTTTCGATAGTGCGAGTCAAGCCCTTGCTGCCGGCATGACCGAAGCTGCGACAAACCTTGAAGCCGGCATTCAACAAGCAATGAAATTCGCTTCGGCTGTGGAAAAGGCAAAAATGAACCTCCTGCTCTCTGCCTTGAGAGCCGGAGATTCAGGGATCAAATCCGCAATGGCAGCCGCCATGGCGACGGGAGGACAAGGTGGATCGTGCCCTGTGCAAAGTCTTTTGGCAAAAATGTCTCCTCTGGTTAGATTTTGGCTGGATAAAACAAATAGATCGTTTTGCACTTACTGAAATATTTATTTCCCTAGTTGTCCGGAAATCTTAAATCTGCCGTCGACGCGACTGGAAGTATCTTCAAGAAACTCGGTGCCGGATTAGGTGCTGCTGTTCAGGGTGGATTAAATGCTGCTGGTAACTTGGCAGGCAATATTGGGAGGCAAGCTAAAACTTCTTTTTTGCGAAAATTAAATTATGCAGGTAAGTTAGAAAAATCTAGTCAAATAGCTAATTAATGATTTTTGTTATAGTGCCATCTCGGGGGGATTTAACGCACTTGCTGGTGCCGTTGGTGGATTAGGAGGTGGTGCTGGGGACGGATCTGCTGGTGCTGGGGCCGGATCTGCTGGTGCTGGGGCCGGATCTGCTGGAGCTGGGGCCGGATCTGTTGGAGCTGGGGCTGGATCTGCTGGAGCTGGGGCCGGATCCGCTGGAGCTGGGGCTGGATCTGCCGGAGCTGGAGCTGCCGGGGGTGCTGCAGGTGGTGCGGCTGGTGCTGCCGGAGGTGCTGGAGCTGGTGCATCCATTGGAACTGGTGGTGGTGCTGGAGCTTCCCTTGGAGGAGCTGGATTCTCCATTGGCCTTGGGCGTTAATTCAACTGAAGCAAAATCTTTTAAAATTTATCTAAAATATTAATCTGCCAATTACATACAAACAGTTTTGAATTAATTTGAGCTCCTTTATCAACCTTCAATTATGATTATAAAAAATATAAAATTCTATTTTCTGGCATTCTTCTAAATACTTTTGCACGCTTAAAGTCTCATAAATTCGATTACCATACACATTCAGAAGGTCGAACACTCATCATTCATGCCGCATGGACATGTTCTACAGCTTTTATACTTCAGCAAAAAATTTATAACTCAGTACTGAGTTTTGCAAATTAAGATATACACACGTAATTGTGGTTTTGTAATCGGAAAGTTTAACAGGTGGGATGCGAGACGATACGTGGTATCCTATTTAAAATTACTTTAAGGTGTACAAATTTTTCTTCACTAAGCTACATTATGCATAATTAATCGTGCATTAATTGCTACATTAATTGTATCGCGATACTTCTAAAAAAAGTTGATCACTAACATTTTGATTAATTGTTTTTTCCTTAAAGCATTTAATTCAGCTGACTTAAGTTTAGAGGCTATGAAATGTATTGTATATTCCTTGTTCCAATTGACATCGACCCTGTCCCGCATATTGCAGACGTCGTTACATATAATGCTCAACCTTCGTTAGTTCCGGGAGGTGTTGTGGTAAGCAGTTAACTCACCAATGCAGACTTCGAACCCAGAAAAAAAGTACTTAAGTAAATCATTTTCACAAAAGTTTCACAAACACATTTATTGAACAAATCGTTATTAAAGTTGCTGGAATAAAAATGTAAGTCATACATACTTAGGAATAGAAGGAAAACCTATATATCTAATATATGTATATATGTATGCATGGTGCACTCTAAATAATTTAGGCGCAAGCCGTCACCTGAGGGACAACATTAATCTACTTTTGATAATTATTAACAATGCCTTTTGAAATCAACGGAAATTGAGTAAAAAAAACTCGTGTGTCAAGCACACGTGACGTCGTTTTAAAGAACTTGAACGTTAATATGTGACTAGAAGTTTGGGTTACAAAAAAGTACATTGTAAATTTTTGACTTACTTTCCGTTGATGTCTACGCATCTCCTTATTCAGTAACAAAAATTAGATGAGTTTAGCGGGTGACGATTTGTCCCCAAGTTATGTGGAGTCTCAAATTTACATACAAATTGATCCCTTTCAATTTTAAACCTCATAGCCAAACTCGCAAATAATGCAGTTTCCGAAGGCATCCTTCCAACTCGCGCTGATCGTACTAATTTCGGTCGTTGGACTTGAAGTAGTTTGGGCAGGTGGGGAAAAATGCAGCGATGGATCTACCACGTGCCTCACCTGCAGGTGCAATTGGTACTCGGACACGAAAGTTTGTTGCCCCGCGGGGTGCACGTTCAATGGGTGGGAGGGCAAGTGTGAAGGTCTGGTGGAAGCACAAATTAAGGAATTCGTCCCCTGTTGCAATTCTAAGGGTGGAATGGAGCGATGCGCGTAATAAACCGAAATCAAATGCGTGTTTCACTCAGGAATCAGGATATTTAATTAGAAAACAGTTCGATGTACACATTTTTTGGAAAGTCATTTGTGAGACAGTAATAAACTAATAAATTCTTTGCAATGTGTTATCTGTTTTTTTTTGCACATAGTCTAAAACGATTTATAATCTGAACAACAAGATAGAAAATCTGAAAATCTCAGGATTTCAATTTTCCATAGCACGGAAAACTTTATGCCCAAAAAATCTTAGGATTGAAATTTCTAATTAAGATTTATATTCCACTTCTTTCCCCTGCTAAATATTTACTTACATGATTGACAAGGAAATAATGATTTGTAAAATACCGCAAAGCAACCAGGTTCTGTGGAAATAATGGTCAGCAAACAGAATCTGATGTTTGATAAGTCAATATTTATCTAATTTAATTAAGTCAATCATTTTGAAATATGTATGTGTTCGTACTTTCGTACGTGATGTTGTTCATGTTATTTGTGTGCATGAGTTCCTATAGATGCACATACATATATATGTTCATTTAAATGTACCTTAAACTTGAGAAATAATCTCAGCTACCCAACAATTTCAATTATTTATCACACATTTTCATCGTTTACATTATAAAGCAACAAATTAAATGTGTACGAAACTTGCACAAATGTTATAGTAAAATTTGCACCCGGTACCACTAGTTGTGTAAAATTTCAATGAAGATGAAAATTTATCCCACGTTGTTGGAATCCTGCCCAACCTTGGGTAAATTTTACACTACCCGTCGTGTCCTCGAGAATTTTACTCAACTTTATTTAGGTCGGCTAGTTAAAGTTATATAAATTCAGTGCAGATATACATTTTGTATGAAGAATTTAACCGACGACGGACGATAAGTATTGTGCTTCTTAGAAAAACGTTGGATAAATTTAAATTTAGTTTTGAGCTCTAAAGTTAGAATCTAAAGACTAATGATTAATTAGTCTTCAGATTAATTAGTAATTAATGGTTGGCTTCAAGCAAAATGTCAAAGGCGACAGCACTAAAGATAGTTGGTGCTAGGAAAGTATTTTCTGACAAGGTGGTTTTGCGTGGAGTGGATATCACGGTCGAAAAATGGACAATGTAAGTCATTAAAATGCATTGGTGTTAAACGGTGCAAATATTCAAGACTTGAAATTTATAGTAAAATTGAAATTCGCAATGATTAAAAGACACTGATAAAACTAGTAAATATTTAACAGTTATCTTTAATACACTTATTTACACAGATACGCCCTTCTAGGCCCGAGTGGATGTGGGTAAGGTTTGCTACATTTACATATACACATCAACCGCAGATTTAATTTATGACATAAAGTAAACATGTGAAACACTTATAAAAGTGTGTGGCACATGTTTGTTATACAAACAGAAACGTGATGGATACATACCTACCTATTAGAGTTGCCACTTCAACTCGGCTTGACTCAGCTTATTGAGTCTGTTGAGTCAAGCCGAGTCGAGTTTACTTCAAGTAAGCCGTCGACTCAAAGAGTTGGCTTATTGAGTTGTGAGTAACTCACAACCCACAGTGAGTTGTGAGTGAGTTGGACTCGGCTTGACTCACTCACTCAATAAGCCGCCTCCTCGTACTTACACACATGCATAAACAAATCCAGTTCGCTCCAACTTGTAAACATAAAATGCACGTACACGTATGTACATATGCTCCGTCAATAGCTGCCTCCACTCACTCGACTCACTCAGATTCTTAATGAGTCGAGTCAAGCCAAGCCGGCTTGCTTCTGACTCGGCTTGCTTCGACTCACAACTCAATGAGTCGACTCGCTGGCAACTCTACTACCTATATAAAAATTTTAAATGATTAAGTTGGCTGCAGAATTAAACTTAATCAAAAACCGCGTGATTTACTCGTTGCATGTATATAAACGTTTTATGGCAAAGTTTGTGTGTAGAGTGCCCTAAGGTTAACACACATATTTAGTGTATGTAATCCCTCTAATGTACGACCCCTACCTTACATACAAAAATGGTATTGTTAAAATTAAAAACTTTTTGCAAACAGGAAAACCACTTTACTTTCTTGCATCGTAGGAGTTCAGCATTTAAGTGGGGGAAGTATAGAAATATTTGGGAGGAACGTGTCCACTTTTAAAAATGGAATGCCTGCAAGCCTAATTGGTTACATGCCACAGGTACGAATTCCCACAGATACTGCAAAATATCGACTTCCGAATTATCATAATTCGAAAATTTAAATATCATATTTCATTATATTTGATGAAAATATTTTAAAATGCCATAATCTAATTATGACATTTAAATCAAAACTCTGAGATCCATAAATTCAGTATCATTCTTGTTAAATTATTTATGGACAGCTCAAAATCTAATTAACTATGTATTTAGGATACCTGCCTCTATGAATTGTTCACAATCATGGAAACATTTGTATACTTTGGGAGACTTCACTGTATGCAGTTACACAAGATTTTAAGTAAAATGGAAACCCTAAACATTGTTATGACTCTGCCGAGCTTGAACAGCATTGTGTCACAACTCAGGTATAACTTAATTCAATTGCTTAACCTGTGGTTAAATGCATTCCGATGTTTTCTAAAATTTGCATAAATGCCTCAAAAGTACATAAACTGCGGTTAGGAAGACTGCGGAAAACTTTCGGCAACCGTCTTTATCTCGAGTTTCGGACCCCATGTTTACATTATTTGGGGGGGTCTTCTGAACATTTTTCATATTGGCCCCAAACATTTTGAATTAACTCGACATAAAGTCTTATTGAAAGTTTACGATGATCAACATTGTACTTGTCACCTACTCATTTAGCGGTGGAGAGCAACGACGTGTCTCTCTTTGTGTCGCGTTGCTGCATGACCCTGAAATTCTTCTGTTGGACGAGCCCACGACCGGGATTGACCCACTTTTACGAGAAAGGTATTAAAAATAAGTATGTACGAATATTTTGGTGACCAATAAAAATTACAAACACAATTTCAGAATCTGGGATTATTTGAGACTTCTTGTTGAATCGAAAGGAACCACAGTTTTCGTAACGACGCATTATGTCCATGAAACGAGACAATGCAAAAAAGTAAAGTCAACATTTATTTAAATTTTTAGCCAAAATTAAGATTTTTTTAAATACTTTAATTTTCCGAATTTGGTCTTTTTGGTTTTTTCGAATTATAAAAATGAGAATTGAACTCAGAATTACTTATTAAGTAATTCTGAGTTCAATCCTCATTTTTTTAAATTTTAACTTTAAAAGAGTAACGGTTTTATTTTTTATTTTTAAAGATTCAGAAATAGCATGAAAATATCAAACTTTAAGATGTCTTAAAAATTAACATTAATTTGATATTTGTAGATTGGCTATCTTCGAGATGGCTCTATGTTAGTGCAAGATTCTCCTAAAGCTTTACTGGAAAAATATGGTATGCAAATATTTGTAAAATTATGACAAAGCTGTACAACATTTCGATTTAATCGAAATAATTTCAGGCCCAAATTGTACGACATCTTTGGATGATGTAATTCCTCACTTATGCAAAACTCCAAGCTGCCTGCCACAATCCTTCCAGGCACAATTTGCAACCTCTCTAAAATCCCAGAAAGTCAAAATGGAACGCGATTTGGACGAAAGCGTGAAATGCTTATCTTTTGGGAATATCAATGATGAGTTGTTTAACACATTGAGTACCCCATACAAGCCAGACCCAAAATTAATATCCAGGACTATGAAAACTTACTGCTCTCAACTGAAAGCACTTACCGTCCGAAATTCAATTATCTACACCCGATCTATGTCGTAAGTTTTATCCTGTAGTGAAAATATTGAGAATTTTGATAAAGTACACTTAAAAGTAATGTGACACTCTTCTAAAACATAAATACACTTTGAATTTTATATATGGTAAAGCGTAGTACGTACATAGGACGAGTTTAACACGTGACAAAGTTAAGCGAAATGGGTGGAAAGGAAGTTAAATAACGTTTAGCAATTAATTTGAAGCACCACTCCCGTTTGATAGAATTTGCAAGAGTGTACCAAATTTTTGAAAAGTTATATGAAATTCAAGTACAGTAATTTATCAGCGGACGAGTAATTTAATACAAATCACGAAGGACCCGCCTATTCCAGGGAAAAATGCTTCCTGAGGACTAGACTTACATAGTTGCATAAATTATACTAAATCCAGAGTAAACTTCGCTGTTTTTCAAGAAATGTAACTACATACATACACATGTAATACTTAATTCAAAACATTTTCATTTCAGAGCAGTTACTTTTCCAAAGGGTGACGCTTGTTTGATCTACAAAATTTGAACTCGAATTATAAATATACGAAAATTGTAATTTCTTATTTTCAAATTATTATATGGGGAGATCCATAAATTATGTAACGCCAAAATCGCGATTTTCTAGACCCCCTCCCCTCCCTTCGTCCCTTCAACATGTGTCACATAGTCTCCATTCGCAAACAGTTGAACTTTTATAGAAATTGAGAATTCTGAGAAACTACGCCACTGTCAGCCTCATTCTTAATTAATTCAAATTCAAATGATATGCTGATGGGGGACTTTGAGAATGGCAGTGGCGTATATGGTTTCTCATAATTTTCATTTTCTGTAAAAATTCCACTGTGTGCGAATGAAGCGTAGGCACGATATCTTTGGAGCCATTGTCGCCCCTCTCGTGTGGCATAGTTTATGGACGGTCCCTATGGCAATGTACATATTACATTTGCAAATAATTTTTCTTACCGCATTCGAAGATTGCCACTCCACCAGCTGGTTATGTTGTTACTGAACACATTCCTTAGCTTGCACGGTATCGGATATGATCCACAGGGTCTCACTTTGGGAGCAGTAATTGACAATGGACAACTGCAAACCCTTTGTGACACAAAGCTCGGCCATTCAATTTCTCCCATAGGAAGGCAAACAGGAATAGATTACCCTTGTCGATTGTTATACAATCTCGAAAAATTGGGAGTTAACTGGGTAACGTTACTAAATAATTTGGATTTTATGAAAAAAAGATCACTTACAATGGAACCTTTTTTCAAGCTACACCGGGATTGACTAACGAATTATATCAAAAAATCAAGCCAAAAATTAGGGATCACATGGCGCTTATCGTTCCGTTGAATGGCCCCTTTGAAGAAAATTATTAGGGGTCAAAGTTCGCACGAGCGCCTTGGTTTTCGCCCCGTGGAGGAAAAAGCAAGGGAAAATTTGCTCAAAAATTGAACTTAACCGCCAATATTTTTCTTCAAAGGGGCCATTCAACGGAAAGAGAAGTGTCACGTGACTACTAATTTTTGGCTTGATTTTTTGACATAACTCGCTAGTCGATCCCGGTGTAGCTTGAAAAAAGGTTCCATTGTTAGTCACGAAATGATCCATATGGTTCCCTTAAGTACCGAATTGGATGCCGAGCAAGCTATAAAATCTGGTGACCTAATGGGTTACATAAAATTCCCGGCAAATTTTACAGAAAATATGAAGAAACGATTTGTCTGGAGAATTTACGCGGACGAAGAAACTTTAAACGGATCCACTATTTCCATCAGATTGGACAATTCTGGTTCGTGGAAATTTTTAAACAGGGTGGTTTAAATGTCTCGGTACTATTAAAACTTTTGCTGAGGGAAAAGTCCCTAGATCTCCATTAGTTAAACACATGGATTCGATGACATTTTCATTAATTCTTATCAAAACTGATAGAATACAAATTCTTAAAATTTTGAATTTCATGGACAAAATTTGATTAACTAATAGAAAGTTACGCATTTTTCCAATTACAAAATTTTCCACTGTAGCGACACACTTAAACCAACCTTTACATGCGTAAAGCAGATGGTTATGAAATATGGATAAGCAGTAAAAACACTAATTTTTTTACAGAATACATGAACACATACTTCCTTACCAAATCGTTATATGAATCCGTTCAGCAATTCTTACTATTAAGTGCGAACGATTATGACGTGGACGAACGGATGGTCACCCTGCCGTTACAGGTATGTTGGTCTATTGCTTAGGGGCCGTCCATAAATTACGCAACGAAAAAATCTCGATTTCTAGACCCCCTTCCCCCTTTAGCAAATGTATGTACGATGCTATTGGAGCCTTAGATACCCCTCCCCACTCTCGCGATAGGGATCGCCCGTAAACTAGTTATGTAAAGCGTTGGAGGGAAGGGGGGTCATAGCTCCGATGATATCGTGCCTATGTTAGAGGGGCAGGGAGGGAGGGGCCCTAGAAAATAGCGATTTTTGTGCAACATAATTTATGGACGGCCCCTTACTCACGCATTTAAATATTTACCAATAGGTATATCGTAAATTAACAGATTAATTCTGGTAATCTAAATTTATGTACAGTTCAGTCCAATCTACGGAAGCTTGTTCCTTGTTCCGGCCGAACTTCTTCTGTAAGTTTGTTAAGATTTTTATAATAGAATCGCCAGAATTCGACTACAAATAAATTATGTGCATATATACTATCATTACAGATTGTGGACCCTCTTTTCAACAACGTTTGGCTTCTTTCACGTAATTGATCGCTGCGATAACACCTTTGCTCGCACAATGGCCACGGGTGTGGACTTTGGTCAAATTCAGCTGTCCTACTACTTTTCGGACGTCCCGCTGGCCCTCTTTCAAGGTGGACTGATCTTACTAATTTTCTGGTGGGACCGGGGCGAACAAGTCCAAGGAAGCTGGATCTTGATCGGGGTTATCTTCTATCTCGCCAGGATGGCCATTCTCTCGCTGTATTTCGTGGTGGGGACGTTCAATATGAGTGTCAAGGACATGACGCTTTTAACAATTTCCATAGTTATGGTTTACGTTTATGCTTCAGGTAAATATAGCAACAAATTTTGCCGCTTATATGTACAGGGTGGTTAATATGTCACGCTACAATGGAAAATTTGTCAATGGGAAAAATTTGTAAATTTCCATTAGTTACCGAAATTTTGTCTCTAAAATTCAACATGAATTTAAGAATTTCGTCATCAATGTTCCATCAGTTTTGACAACAATTATAAAAATCTCAATCAAAAATCTTGTAGCTAATGGAGATTTAGGGGGTTTTCCCATTGAAAAATTTTCCATTATAGCGTGACATTTAAACCACCCTGTATATCGACTAGCTTCGTTCGTTAGAAAGTTTGTGATTTAGGGCCGTCCATAAATTACGTAAAGCAAAAATCGCGATTTTGTAGACCCCCCTACCCCTTTAACATGTGTAACATAGGCACGATATCATTGGAGCTTTTGACCCCCTCCCCGTCCCTCCTTGTGCGTTGCGTAATTTATGGACGGCCCATTTTGAATTATTTTTCATTCCTAATACATTGTTAGTCCTGCAGGTGTTTATTTTGTGGCCTTAAATTGCAATGGTCTGTAGAAATTTGCTACCGATATGGTAAAACTTTAATTCCGGTACCCTTCAGGTAAGGGCCACTCCATTTATAAGAGTAAAATTTACATCCTAATTTTGTCAGTTCGTGAAAATAATACTCGCCTCCAGAAGTAATGCGTTATATCCACAAATTTTAGAAAATTTTCCATTTGACTTTAATTTAATTTTTCAATTTTTCTAATCTTCTTATTTACCTAATAAATGTTTTCAATATTTATAACTATCTTTTAGATACGATCTGGCCTATCGAATCTGTCGTGTGGTGGTACCGACCATTTTGCCATTGCCTTCCGTTTACCGTTACGATCCGCGTGTTGCGCAGTGTAATTACGAGAGGGTGGGGGATGACTCATCCCACCGTGCTTTACGGAGGAATCTGCTTCCCACTAATAATCACTGGGATTAGTACCATTGTGTCATTTGTGATGGAAAGGAGAAGCAAAAAGTTGTGATTTACTAATATGAGTGTGATATTATGTAAGCTACAACCAGATATTACCCGAAGAGCCTTATTAAATGTTATCAATAATATGTGGTGACTTGGTTTGTTTCTGAAAATAAAAATTTATTCCTACACGCTTGTATATATGTATGTATATATATGCATGCCGCCCTTAAGTATGTATATATGTACAGTTTCTGCACGCTCTAAGAAATTCGGATTATCACCGATCGGCGATCGGTGACTATATTTTGCATCGACACCCTCCCTCTGTGCCCACTCAGAAGCACACTACCAGCCAGTGCCTAAACTATGCCAAACACGAGGGTGGGCAAACTTATTGATGCGCCCCAAGCCGCTCGCGCCTTCGGCCCTAGCGAATTTTTCTCAACACCAAAATGACCATTTAAAAATTCGTTTGCAAAAACATGGTATTGGTTATCTTATATCTCGCCAGGATGGCGAATGTTTCAATTTATTTCCTACTGGGATCACTCAAGTTGAAAGCGGACGCAATGTTCTTAACGATTGCAATCGTTATAGTTTACGCATGTTCTTCAGGTACCGTTTCAGCCTGGTGCAAGCAAAAACTGGCTTCAGATATATGAATAATTAGGGTATTCAATATTTATTTGTATCTGTAGTATCGTAAAATATTTTACGAAGAACAATACCAAGGGGTCATGTTTCATAAAAACCGGAACTTTTGTAATGTGGATTTTGATGAGAAAATCTTACAAAACCTCGTAACCGTCGAAACTTATTTTGGAATACAAAAGAAGAATGAATACCCTAAATATTCCCTAGGGATTATCAGGGTTTTACCGTGAGGAAAATAGGGTGGGGAAAATGGGTGGGTAAAATGGGTTTTAGCCACCCACCCCAAAGCCCCGCAAGTGGGGAAAATGGACAAAATGGGGAAAACACTTTTTTGGGGCAAAATGATTCACTTTTTCAATCCCAACTTGAAAGATAAAGTAATTCATCATATTAATAACACGAGAGCACTGAAATTTTTTTTAAAATATAGATAATTGCTGACTCTCTCTGTATTTCTTTCTTCGAAATTGTTTGCATTTCCTTCTTCATGGGTAAGGTTATATTAGGTGCTTGATTCTGAATCAAGCACCTAATATAACAGTGATAGCGATTATGAATCAATGATTCATAATCGCTATCACTGTCAAAATCTAATGACAAAAGATAAATTGTTATACTTTATGAGAGATTAAAATGAATGCAAATTGTTAGGATATTTCGTATTTATCCAGAATTTACCCAGAGTGTAGTTTTGTTTTTACTAAATTGGCAATTTTAAACCTAATGAATTACTTAACGGTAAAATCAAAAATCGAGTGGTTTATTTAATAAACAATAAGAACAAAACAAGGCAAATAAACTACTCCCAATGGTGGTGGTGGTCCACCACGTCACTATAACCCTTCATACTCATTTTCCCCACTACCCACCCATTTTCCCCATTTTTTCCATTATACCCACTGGGCTGGGGATTAAGCTCAAAAAGTGGGTAAAGTAAAACCCTGGGAATTATGGAGTTTGATATGCATTTATTGATTTTTTAAAACTTTTTGCATACTTTCCTATAGATACGATCTGGCCTATCGAATCTGTCGTGTGGTATCGCTTATTTTGTCACTGCCTTCCATTTACCATCACGATCCGCGCCTTGCGACATGTTATGCTTCAAAATTGGGGCGTGACTCATCCAACCGTTTTCCTTAATGGAATTTGCTTTCCGATTTGTACCATCATACTCAGCACTGTTGGATCGTTTCTGGTGGAAAGGAGAAAATAGAAATACTTATTTATTTATTCCAAGAAGAATGTACATACACTTGCTAGGAATTTTATCACAAGGAATCTAATAACGTTCTTTAGCAAAATTGTATTTAAGTGTACTTCTGTCAAAAATATAACCCTGAGTTTCAGGTCAAGATATACCAAACTGTAGTCTAATTCGCTATCTTAATACATTATGCATGGGCTTTATCGTTTTTACTACGTACGAGAGCATCCAAAAAAACTTTGCTTGCAAAGAAGTCTTTTATTTAAAAAATCAAACCATTTGAATATTTGTACACGTCGAATCATACTTAAAATTTATCGAGTTATAAATTGCGTCGAATCATACGATACGTCGAATTAAATTTGTGCAATGACAAGGTGGGGAGAGTAAGGCGTGGAGCTAAAAATCCTACATATGTGTCTACATATTTATGAATGCATACCGGGTAAAACAGGAGTGGAAATCACAATGGTATATGTGTACATATCGGGAAGATTAAATGCATGCAAATTTATTCGTGGAAGTGTAATCGCATCCACATTATGTATTACAAATGTTCGAAAGTATGTAATTGTCTGCTTGATTTATCTATTACGATATACCTTACTGCATAATGAGCCTGCATAGACTTATCAAACTTGACAGTTCAATTATGATAAGCTTAAACAAATTCAGCGTATTGAAATTTTTTTAATTTATAAATTGAAGATTTCATTTAATTTGTTACGTACATAGGCGTTACGAGTAAGTAACATAGCTGTGCAACCTGACTCTGATATGGTAATCCTCTATCTTCTGGGCCAGAGGTCGACGCCGCTGATCTCCCGCCGCGCCGCAATACGCCGATGAATTTTACGCGCCGCCGCCGCCTAAAAATTTAATTTCCTATACCTTTAACATTGCGACGCCGCGCCGCGCCGCCGACGCCGCCGAAAAATCACCAAAAACTGGCGCCGCCGCCGCCGAAAATTTGTCGGCGTCGACCTCTGATCTGGGCCGATACTGGGCTTTTCGGGTCGACCGCATTGTTGACCATCTGCTGTGGTCCCTATTATATGCAGGTCTTGATCCGTCAGTATTAAATAGATAACAAACATTATTCCGTATCTTACGCATATGTTAAAATCTTACCTGTAAATAAAATTTATTAACGACATGGTGAAATATTGTCACCCAGGATTATTTACTAACTCATAACACCCTGTGAGAGCCATATCGCTTGGAATCCATTTAATACTGGAGTACAAATACACCTATACATATGATACTTTATCGCGACGAAGATTACGTCATTTGGTTGTTATAGATATTACGAAACGCGGTCAACATGGTTGACGTGGCTCTAAATCCCAGTAAACAGGCTTAAGTATTCCCTGACTATCTGACGGACGGACCACAAAATGTGATGATGCGGATATTTAAAAAAATTAATAATATTGGGTGGAATTCAATATACGTTAGGCAATGCTTAGGCAAGAGAAATTTGCCTAAGCAAATTTTATTTGTATTCAATATTTGTTGCTTAGGCAAAATTCTAAGCAAGTGCTGAGCAAAAAATTTATGAATTTCTGTATTCAATATGCACAAATTCCTAAATTTTTTGCCTAAAGTTATTCCAGCTCGGAGGTGGAATAACGACTTGCGTAACTTTAATTTAGCTCAAAAAAATATTTATTTCTTTAAAAATGGCCATTCCATTATTTGTCCTGAACAATGAGCGCAATCGGGTTTATAAACAACGTCGACTCCTTGAAAGTCTCTCCGAATTTGAAATAAGGAAACATACTGGTTTGCCTTGGTGGGGAGCTCGAGAGCTTATTGAGTGGATTGAACCGGAAGTTGAACCACTGGCACGGAGAAACTACGCGACACCGGCGGAGACGAAAATTCTTACAACATTGGGTTTTTTTCGATCTGGGTCATTCCAATGGATGCTAGGAACTGTTTCCGGAACTTCCCAGCCTTCGTGCAGCCGAATAATTGCGGAGGTACGCTTAAAAAATGGTCTTTAATATGTTGCAGTTTGAACTTTCAAAATTTATTTCGAACACGGTCAGGTGTCATCTACTCTGCAGGGTCATGCAAATGAAATGATCAGATTCCCAGCAAGTGTGGATGAACGAAATATCGTGTCAAACGCATTTTATCAGGTCGCAGGTCTACCGAACGTGATTGGCATTGTTGACGGAAGCCACGTTCTTATAAAAGCTCCAACTGACCACGGCGGAGTTTACATTAACAGAAAACAGCGTTCAACATTCCATTAACGTACAGATAATATGCAATCACCAGGATAAAATAACTGATATCGTAGCGAAATATCCTGGTAGCAGCCATGATAGCTTCATTATGAGGAACAGTGCGATTTGTCATCGGTTTCAGCGAGGAGAATTCGGTAACAACGTTTTGATAGGTAAATTATATAACAAATACATTTAAAACAATTAATTAATTAAAAATTAAAGGTTGAAAATTAATTAAAAATTAAAATTAAAGGCGACAGTGGTTATTTTCGTGCACCATACTTGGCCATTCCGTTTTCGAGGAGAGCGGCATTATCAGTCGAGCAGCAATTATTTAATACCGCATTGACAAAAACTAGAAGCAAAGTTGAACGATGCATCGGATTGTGGAAATGCAGATTCAGATCAATGCATAAGTTTGTAATTCTTTCATTCATACGTGATCGTATTTTGATTTAATTTTCCGTTAACTAATAGATCGGGAGGCGACTTATGCTACGAGCCAGCAAAAGTTTGCAAATTGATCACTGCCAGCGTCGTTTTGCATAATTACTGTGTAAATTTCGGAATTCCCTTGTTGGATGAAGATGAGCATCAGTTAGAACTTATTATTCACGGTCTGGCTGAAGATGAGTTGGATTAGCCTAATTAGTTTAGTGGTGGTTGTAAGTAAGTTTTATACTAGTGTACACATGTGAAAATTTACGTATTTGTTATTCGTGTATTTAATCTTGGACCAAATTTTAAGTACATACAAAGTAAAACCTGAAAAACAATTTCTCATATTAACGCAAACAAAACTATTGATAAGTCTTCTGCATTTCGAGTTATTTATGTGATGACTCAAATGAGAATGTGAGCGGTGGTGGTTTTGAATTGCAAGTCGGCCAAATCCCTGAAATAACGTCGAACAACAACAGGGTCGTCCAAGAGGAAGTAGTTATCGCCGTGTTGGATAAGATTTTACAGAATATGTCTCTCGATAAGTTCAATTAATAGTTAAACTAATTAAATTAACAGCTCTTTACTATCCTGACCGGGTGCTGACTTTCCCAATTTACTATTTTATGAATCTATGTGTCGCGCTATTACCGCACTGCAATCCTGCCACCGACTTAAAGGACCCGATCACATCCATCGAATCTCATTGTTCTGGTAGGAATGCAATCACCGGCTCATGGATGGTAGCAGTGAATATTTGCAGAATTTAACCATGTTCAGGATGATGGTTTTGAAATAGAATTCTGTAAAGGAAAGTGTAATTTTGCAATGAATTGTAATTACATACAACGTAAAACTTGAAATACAATTGCTCATATTAACAAAAATAACTGAACACGAAATTAATTGAATAGAAATTTGATGATTAATTCAAATGCAGCTGTTCACATCTGAAGAACGAACACATTGACCATCTGTTAATTGGAAATATAGTTCGGGAATTGGGACGATTCAAATTTCTTGCGCTTGAGTTTCAATTTTTCTTCCTCAATATTGTTTCGTTGCTGCATGAGATCACCAATACGCTTCAGTTCCTTAACTTGAGTTTCCAGTAAGGTAACTTGACGTGTTTGCAGCTGGTACAACGTGGTCTCGGGAAGCTTGCGTTTTGTGGGGCGAGGAGACTCATTTATTGACGGGTCTTCTTCACTTCGAGAAGATGGAGTGCATCGTGGGACGTGATTTCGGGCGGTAGTTGTCTTCATCGTAGGTTTGTCTGTAAAACGAGTCACAAACTTTAGTATACAACTAATCATGTCAGTCAGTTTTAAGCCTCACCACTGGAATCGAATCCTCCAAAAATTCCTTCGACTGATACCGTAGGGAGAGTCGACAAAATTTTTTCCTGTAGGTCGTCGAGTTGGGACAACGCACTTTCACCGCCACCGGTCTCATTCAGCTCTCGTTTATTTGCGGCCCCTTTAGCCTTGACCTCGCTCTTAAGCTGTTGGTACTTCTTCTTAATTTCAGACAGCTTTCTTCCGCCAGGAACCACACCCAATGCGTTGACCTTGAGAAGGACTCGCCCCCATGCTTCTGATTGAATTTCAGGAGTCATTTTCGTGGTGAATTGGCCAAAAAGTAACGAAAGATTTGCAACAATTTCATCAACTAGCACCTCCTTTTCCAGAGAAGTGAAATTTGGACTCCTTTTGGCACCTTCGGTCTCTAAAAAATTATCAATCACATTAATTAAGACAATTAATGTGACTTTAAATTTATAATTTAGCTAAGTTTATGGAAAAGTGGTCACTTACTTGTGATATTACCCGTTAAAGTGGTCAACGCCATTTCGAAATGCAATGGAATGATCGAAAATGACCATAAAAACTTCAATAATTAGCCAGTCAAAATTATTGTAGGGAATGTGATGTTGATGGTTTAACCGAGATGAAATAAGATGCAAGCAGCCGACCGTCATAATTTTTCATGATTTTTTTCAGTTCACACGAGGTCACAGATTTTCGTTGCTTAGCCGTTGCTTAGAATTTGCGTAAGTTTAAGCATTCTTAAACTTACGCATGCCTAAGTCGACTGTATATTGAATACCAAATTTTGCTCAGCAAAAACCTTGCTGAGCATGTGCTTATCTACGCAAATGCTTATGATAGCGTATATTGAATTCCACCCATTGATTATGGTGATTATGGCCATTAATAATTATGGTCAAGTGCAGGTGAAGGTGCACAGCTATGCAAACGCTGATTGACTAAGAGACTTTTACGAAACCGAATTCATTGAAAAATTAGACGACACTCGTACTTTGCAACTAAAAACAACTTCAAATTTATTTGCACTCATCATAATTGTATTGTCTTGTCAATCAAGGCTTATCATGCACCAACCTGGTGACAAGACAACTAATAATAACCAACGAGACACTTTGCTGTGATAAAATTGTTGCACCTGGAAAAGATGTCATACATAAATGCGGCATTAATAAATTTGCACGTGCATGTATAATCCGTCTGAAATCAGTTCAATCCTTCATTCTCACTTCACAACCATATCGTTAATCGTTTACAAATTAAATACCAATCTTTTTAAAAATGTGGGTTGCATTATTTTCCTTATTTTTTACCTTAGTTTCCTCACACGAGGAGGCATTAAGATTTGGCACTTACCAAAATCGGGAACAATTGGACAGCGAGGGAAAAGTTTTTCTGGGGTGGGAATTTGATTCGGAAACCAATGTGATAACTTTCGAGATGGAGGTGGAAACGACGGGATGGGTGGGGCTGGAAATTTCTCCGTCCGGAAGTATGACCGGTGCGGACATCTTCATCGCTGGCATTTACAGTAATCTCTCCGCGTATTCAAATGTAAGTAAAGTTTCAAAAAAATCTTATGTAATTCCTCAAAATTTTAATTTACAAAACCCTCAAATAAAATTTTATTAAAATTTCATATGTATATTCCTCATTCCAATGAAGAAACATATTGCGCTGTTCATCGAATCGGACTTCTCCAATTCTCCATCAAGCGCCCTCATCATATCCTATATACATATATACATATATACATTCATATATGTACTACTTCTTTATTCACGTAGGGAGCCCAGTTTTTAATATCAATGAAAAATTAAAATCGTAGAAAAATGCACGAGAGCGCACAAAAACACACGAGATCGCACATAAACGCACAAGAGCGCACCAAACCGCATAACACACGAGGTACCAAGCCACAGTTCCATTTTGTAACAACCTGTGCGCTCCATTTCATTCAATTAAGATACTTTTGAAACAACTCAAAACAGCCCGACTCACAAGGTACTAAGACACATTTGCATTTTAATTAACCTAGGCTCCCCATTTACCACTAATTATTGTTCATGGAACTCTCAGATGCGACGGGAGTAGTGGTCTCAACGGTTCCCGGTTCTGATCGGACCGAACCGGAACCGCCGATTTCGGTTCGGTCCGGTTTCGTAGAGAGAACCGAACCGAGCCGAAACTTTATTATTGGTTCGGTTCAGGTTCCAATTTTTTTAGAACCGAACCGAACCGGCCGGTTCGGGTTGAACCGAACTTCATAGGTAAATCCATTACACAAACCTTTCCGAATTTCCCGATGTAGATCCCCAAAGCTTCAAAAACGATATTTTCTCTTGGATGCACCCCTAAAGTTTCCGAAATTAAATTTCGACCTGGTTTCACCCCCAAAGTTTCCGAAATGAAATTTCGGCTTGGTTACACCCCCAAGGTTTCCGAAGTGAAATTTCGACTTGGTCACTCCCCAAACCAAACCGGACCATTGAGACTACTAGACGAGCGCAATAGGTGAATATACTTCGCGATTATGTAAATCAAGTGGGGTAGAGGAAAACGGTTCCAGGAAGCTTTCTATCAAGATGCCTCGTCCACTTGATTAACACACGGAGTATGTACCATCAGATGTTGCATTCTATCCCATCGCATCTGAGAGTTCCATGAACAATAACTAGCAGAAGATAAATAACGCCCCGCATCGTTCCACATCGCCCCGAGTATAAGGAGCCCATTGATGCTCCTTCAATTTCCGTCGCCGCACATCGCTCCGAGGTCTGGATCCTATATGTTTCTCCTGTTGTTCTTATCCGTGATCCTGTTTTTACTATTCAGAAAAACTAAAAACGCAAATAAACGCTCCAAAACGAAACAACCCCACACACCAGGTACCGAGGCATAGTCCCCTTCCTCTCAACTTGCGTGTCAAATCTTATTAAAATAACTAAAATTAAATATGCCCAATACAGCCCCGCACACAAGCTACTAACAATGGAACCTTTTTTCAAGCTACACGAGATAAGCTTAGTGACTTATGCTAAAAAATCAAGCTAAAAATTAGAAATGACGTGGTACTTATCTTTCCGTTGAATGGGCACTTGGAGGTCAAATATTTGAGGGCAAATTTCACAGTAGCGGCCTGTTTTTTTCTCAAGCGGCGAGCGGAGGAGTGAAAATTTACCCTTTCGAAGTCACTCCGCTCTCTTCACTCTCGCGTTAGTTTCGTTACTAGTATGAAATCAATATGCATTTCCAAAAATATACAACGAAATGTGGCAAGGGGTGATCCATAAATTATGTCATGCAAAAAAGCCCTTTTTTAGGACCCCCCACCCCTGTTGTCACGCCTCTGTCACGCTCGTTGTGACCCCACCCCCCCTCTTGTCGTGTCACGCCTGAAAATCTAAATTTTTCCAATTGCAAGAATGATACATACATATGTTCTATAAAAGAGGAGCGAGTAGTAAATATGGCGTAATATCAACACTCACAAGGGAATCTTATGTACTCTGTCACCAGGATTTTGCACACATTAACTTTATTTGGCCGATAATTATGAAACCATGCCTTTGTCATAGAAGATGTAGTACAAATTGCGGCTGAAACCAAATATTTCGCGATAACTGAGTGAAACCCGTGTAATTTTACAGGACAGGAACAATTGTTAGCTTTATTTATACTCATATTACACCTTTGATGGAGTTAAAAGTCATTTGATTTGTGATTTGTCAAGTGATTTGTAGATAACAACATTTCTCAACTATTCATTTTTCTAGTATTTTTAGTTTTTAAAAGTTTCAAATAAGTCGAAAAAAAAATCCGCCAAATTTTTAAGTTTTCTTATTGCGATAATTTTTTGAATTGTTAGCATTATTGAATTATACAGTTGTCTTCAATTAGTACACATTTTTGAAACTATAAAAAATACGGTTCTTTCGGACGACTTTTTTTAATTGTGCAAATTTTTGTAGATTTAGTAATGTTTTTTTAATTGTTGAATGAAATTTTGCAAAATTATGATGGTTTTTTTAAATTGTGAAGACTTTTTGATATCATGAATTTTTTAAATTTTCAAATAATTGTATATCGTGCAAATTATTTTAAGGTTTGAACAAACTTTAGAAACTTGGTTGAAAATCCCAAAATCTAAAACTTGGTTGAAATTTTGGATGCTTTGGATCAAAGGTTTGATATTCGGTTGGACTTGGACATATTTCGAAATAATTTGCGAAACTGTAGTTTGGTCATAGTCGGAGAATTAAAATGT